CTCAGCACTGGAGAGACAATATTGCAATCAAGCTTCTGCTGAAGATTGTACAAGACTGTTACCCCCTGCCCAATCCTTTTATTAAACATTGTCTCAAAACACTAAATAAGCACAAGTATTTTTATCCAGTGCAGACTAAAAAGAAAGAAATACACAATCTTAGCATTTCTTCTTTCCAAAAAGGAAGGCTTTGAGGTCTGGAGTTACTCTGTTTCAGCAGGAGCCTCCCAGGGTATTATTAAAAACTCCCCAAACTTCTGTGCTAAAAAAATGAGGCAGCCAGCAGTCTGCTGGTGCTGTGATCTGCAGCTCAGGAGGCAGGACCTGCATTCACAGAACACTCAAGCACTGAGGGAGTTGTAAGCAATACAGATCATGGCTTTTTCTGCTTGTAAAGCAACCAAACTGCTTTGGGGACTTCTTGTTTGTTTTGATCGATGCATATTTATTCTGCACTTGTCACCCAGATCCTGCAGCACATATGGTAGTCACCAAGTCCCCTCTAATACCTTGGCTTAGCACTGTGTGAATTAAAGACAACAGTTGCAGCTTTAAAACTAAACTTCCAGTTTCATGTAGACACACCCCCAGCACACTCACACCGTACACATTAAAAAAATTAATAAGCATATTAAGAACGTGCTTCTCTATTCCCAGCAAGGAACAGCAGGTGTGCTTTGCTAATTATGTCAGCTCCTAACCTGCTATTATTTACCAGTGTCAGGGAACTTAAGATGTAACAAAAAAAAAAAAAAAAAAGGCAAACAAACAAAACAAAACAACCCCAAAACCTACATCTAAAAGTTTGAAATATTAGTGAAGCCAGCACATTTGCTCATCCAAACAAGTTTATTTTAGTAACTTTTTGCTCCTGAAGAAATCAACAGAAAGGAACAGCCACACTCTGGGACTGTCACAGAACCTGACAGAACACATTCTCCACGTTGTCAAAAGTCAATTGTGGAGGAAAACACGTTCTGAATTAACACCCTGCGAGACCCAACCACGTAAAGACGCACACAGACCCGCGACCTGAACACTACAGCTTTGTTTGAAAGTGAAACCAAGCAGGCTACAAATAATGCTCTATCCCCAGCGCCCAGGGAGGTGCCAAACCCAAACAAGAAGTATAAACGGAGGAGAAGGACGGCTGAGTTTTGAAGTTTTACATTTTATTATCGGTAGCATTATTTATAGCGCGACACTTCTATATATAAATCTGCGATCTGCGTTTCTTTTTACACCTAGAAAGCGTATCAAGTTTAGGCAGCGAACCCTTGGGTTTCCATTTATTTGCAAAAGTTTGGTAAACACCGGATATTTACACGAGCGGAGCAGCTGGGTACACACACACACACATACACAAATAAATGCATGCGGACGCGGACAACACGCGAAAGGCGCACTTTCCAGCCCATCATCCGCTGCCTGCTCAGACCTTTTTCCAGCTCCCGAGCCAGCGGGGAAATGGCCGGAGCA